TTGGCCATTTTGTCTCCATATGTTACCAAATATGAAGTAAGTAATATGATTAAATATAGAAATTACATTTTTCCTTCATGTTATGTCTGCTCCAGGCACTAGTCGCGCTTTCAGTTTTTGTAATCTTCAGGTAAACTAAAACATTAATGTCATTGATAAAATATGGAACAAATACCCTTTACTTTCCCAAATTGTTATTTTTTTTAATACAAATCAAGAGCATAATTATGTGAAATATTCATTTTTGTGATACTTATTCAGATCACAACATCCAGAGGTAGTACGTAGGTATAATATATTATTAATTCCACTTGGCAACAAAAGGCATTACGAAATGCGGGGGATACGGTAGGATCTGTTTTGATTTGGCTACTGATGTGAATACATGATATTCTCTTGGTTTGTCAAAACATTTCAAAAATAGAATGTAAAGTTGAGTGCTGTTGGTTTCTGAATTTGATGTTGATACACTTTGCTGTCCCTCAGATAGGACATTAAATGAAGGCCCTGTGTAGAGGAGAGTCACCTCCTTTGCACATTAAGAACCCACGGCACTATTCGTATAGTAGGGGGAAACCTTGGCATAGGGGTCCACCTGTACACCCCCAATCAGTTATACCGGGAGTAGAGACGCAAGGGTTACAGTGATTCAGTTCACTTATGCACCTCTCGGGCACAGGTGACGCCAATACTTAATACTGTCGCCATTTGTTTTAAAAAAAATCTTTTTCAAACTCCAAGAATGTTGTTTCAAGGACTGAAAGATTTCTTGAAACTACTCCAAGAAATTTGTTACAACATTCATTTTTATAGTGACTGAACTTCAGCGTAATAAAGAAGTGGTTATTCTTGTTTTATCAGGCAATATATATTTTTTATTTTTATAGACACGTATTACAATTGTTTATAGTTTGTACAAAGAGAAATAACATTGAGTCCAGATATATTGTTAAATCCAGTGTTCAAACAGTGATGCACAAATAAAATGTTTTGTAAGGAGTGAAGAAGATGCACACAATGTGTAGGCTAAAATGTATCAAGTGACAAACAAAATTGTATTACAAAAAGACCTTTTTTACAATTAACCTGTTATTTCAAGATAAGTTTTGGGGATATTAAACTTTTCTAATTAGGCCATAAATAAAAGACTTTATGAATGAGTTCTAGTTCAGTAGATATGATAATTGGATAAACTGGATTTCTTTATCAATCAATGAATAGTCACTTTTCAAGAATGCTAACAATTTGGAAATTAAGTTAGACTGCCAAGGACAAGCTATGTGCAACAACAAGAGGTTGGTGTGCTTTTGGTTTTGTTTGTTTTCAGAAGTTTCCTGTTCAGAGAAGAATAGCTGCATTTCTTTTGCGGCAAGGTATTTGATTAGTGAAGTAAACACCTGCTGAAAGGGAGTCTGAAAAAGATTAGGGGGGAAGAAAAATGAGGCTCCAAGTATCGGGGGCTTTGTGCCCCGCCTTTGAGTTCGGCCAACGGTCCGGAACCAACCATTAACTATGGATGAGATTCTTTTGAACAATGTAGCCGTCATTTCTTTGATATCACTTCTCACCATTGTGGAAGTCTTTCTTTTCAGTCTCATCCGCCATTCAGGCAGAAATGTGTAATTGTGCCAAGAGAAGAATCGCGTGGTAACCGCGCACAAAAGCTTCCAAACAGGACCTATTGTAATGCTTTGATAAGCCTCTTCAGAGGCCTGCTTTGGAGTGGGTTTCGCCTCATTGTGCTCCGTCGACTATTGCCCCGCGGACAAATATTTTGATGTGAAGATAATAACGATGACAGGCCGGGCTGAGTGCCTTTGCACTGTTGCCTCTCGGTTTCTACCAGCACAATCGAAGGGGAGACATAATCGGGGGAGGAAATATGATGAAAGAGTTATTTTCGTCTCTTAGTGAGATAGTTCCATAGTAGTGCTTCTCTTTAGCGCCGTTATTGTTCAGTCAAGGGCTCAATGGCATGTGTGATACTTCTGGAAGTTTTAGTTTCAAATGGCTATAAACATGAGACAATACAATTCCTCTTGGACAGTGGATATGTTTAGTTGTTAAAATCAATGATTTAACATTACTACAATGTTTCTCACAGACATTCATCAATCTATCTATTACCATTATAATCAGGTTCAATAAATATCTGTTGTTGTTAACTGTTATGGTTACTACACCACAAGTTGTGAAAGCTTAATTGGTTCAATAGCTTCTATTTTTATTTAAAATAATAAAGCTTTTTTAAATTGCCAATCAATGGAACATTTCAATAACCTTACAAATCATCTGTTGCAGACAGAAGTGCGTTAACTCTGTGTAAAGGTATACAAGTTAATGCCTTTCTGGCTCCAAAGAGAGAATACCATCTGTTTAGAGCCAAAAGGGTGTTAACTCTTATGATTTTACACAGAGTTTCAGTTGAAGGGTGTTAACTCTTATGACTTTACACAGAGTTTCAGTTAAAGGGTGTTAACTCTTATGATTTTACACAGAGTTTCAGTTAAAGGGTGTTAACTCTTATGACTTTACACAGAGTTTCAGTTAAAGGGTGTTAACTCTTATGATTTTACACAGAGTTTCAGTTAAAGGGTGTTAACTCTTATGATTTTACACAGAGTTTCAGTTAAAGGGTGTTAACTCTTATGATTTTACACAGAGGTTTAGTTAAAGGGTGTTAACTCTTATGATTTTACACAGAGTTTCAGTTAAAGGGTGTTAACTCTTATGACTTTACACAGAGTTTCAGTTAAAGGGTGTTAACTCTTATGATTTTACACAGAGTTTCAGTTAAAGGGTGTTAACTCTTATGATTTTACACAGAGTTTCAGTTAAAGGGTGTTAACTCTTATGACTTTACACAGAGTTTCAGTTAAGGGTGTTAACTCTTATGATTTTACACAGAGTTTCAGTTAAAGCCTTTTGGCTCCAAACAGGTTATTAATGAAGAATGGCCTGCTGAGAGCCAGAAGTGCATTAACTCTGTATAACATGAAAATAGTTGAAGCCCTTATGGCTTTCTTTAGATCAACAGATAATGATCTATGACACCAAACTGGAAATAAAAGGACTCCCAAACTGGTAAATATGAAAACAGTATTTAAATTGTTTACAGTAACCTCAGAGAATCAATAATTCAAGCATATTATCTTTTTCATGATCTCACTGCTATTATGCATTCTAATGACCTTTTGAATGTACTACGGTTTATCTATTTCAAAGGAATTTTACAGCACAAAGCAAACAATAGCATCGGTTCTTTTGATACAAAAACTTGAAATCTTTTTCTGTTTGTTTCTGATTTGTGTAGGTGGCGCTTCCACATTGACATTGTCACAGACGTTGCATAGTTACAAAAACAAGAGTTGAAGAGTTATACCACTAACCCATTGCCTGTTGAAACCAGGTGGTCCGTGTATTAAGCCTATGGAAATTAGTTAATTCAGTAGTCAAGGAATTAGGAGTTAGAGCTCAAAATGAACTTGATTGTGAGAGATTGTTAATGTAAGTGTGACGGACAACTCAATACTCATGTTTTAGCTTTGCAGGATAATTAAATAATTAACAGTAGAAATTCTAGAGGGGGCTTGGGGGCTCAACCAACCCCTTTTCCTATTTCTTCAATTTCTCTTGATTATAAATGAATTCAATGTGAGTGAGGCACATGTAGAAAATGAATTCAGGAAGCCCTCAAGCCCTCCTCCAATTGTTCTTCTAGAACTGATGCTGCTAATTAATGGTTAATTTTATTTGAATCTCTGCTAATGTATCATTTTGATGCAAAGAAAGAATATAAGAGGACCAAAAATTATAGCTTTCAATAGATATCCTATCCTAACCCAGCGATGCTTCTCCAAATGAACCCAATGACACTGATTACACCATATTGCCTCATCCAAAAATGTCCCAGGACTTATTCTTAGATTGAGGTGAAAAATTTAATAGTACTTAAGTTCGAAACAATTAATTACCAAGTGCACGTTCATTAGCACTAATGCTGCATCCGTAGAGCCATGTGTAATACACAGCTGCACGCAAGCAATTAAAGAACCACTGAATAGTAAATGATCTTGCAATTGGCAACACTTGTCTGATCATTTGAGTTCACCATGTATTGGTACTTTCTTTGATATTTGTTTGTTCCCGGATATTTATGTTAGCCCTTGTATTAAGAATATGAAGTTTGGTCCTGATAAAATGATTAAGGATAGATCTATTTCTAAAGGCTTGGTCTTGGACTTGAGGTTTGGAATGTTTAGCATGTTAAATTAGTGTTGGAAAGTTGAAGTCTTGGTCTTGAAGGTGTGGTCTGGATCCAAATGTAGCCCTACTCAAGTATTGACCCCAAAGGCTGTAGTCATCTTGGAAGTCTTGGTCCATCAACAAGTTCTACCGGTACTCATATCCTAGTCCATTTCAGCAGGACCGGTTTGTTTGAAATTTGAAAGAAATGGTGGATCTTTAAGTGAACTAGGTTACTGCTTTTGTACTAATTACCCAACCAACTCTTTGCTTAATCCGATAAGCAGTATCTTTCAACAGATTTTAACCGTACTCGCCCATTATCGTGGTGTTTGTAATCTATTTGTCTCATTCCTACTCAATAGCCCAACCTCTTTAGGGTGTCTTCTAATCAGCTTGATAAGATTATTACAAAAGCATTTTGTCTTTGTGCAACTACCAGCTTTGCAAAACTATGCTGGAGAAGGGATAACCCGCTCTTGAACAGTGCGATAGCTTTGAGCTATCAGTTCTCAAGGGCCCTTGTTGTTATCACCGAACATCATTAAGATATGATTTGTAACATCTTTATTTTGTAATTGAAGGCCGGGATATTACGAGCAAATGGATGTTCAAAGTCTTTAATAAAAGCTTGTTAGACTTTGTTTGTCTGTTGGAGAGTTGTAAATTATGTTGACATTGATATGACAGGCTGACAACCTCAGCACACAAATAAAACATTCAAAGGCAATGTCTCTTGTTTTGCTGTTGTCATTGAGATAATTGCAATGTGGATGTGTGGGTGGAATGAGGGCAGTATGCAATAAATGTTTTGTTTTGTTTTGTTTGTATCGTAGATTCTCTGGTGCAAGTAAGGTCTGGCAATCCCGGCAAGTATTGGTACCCGCTGATGACAAACTTATGCCACTTAAGCAAGCACAGTGTTGTGATTTCTTGCACCATGGGTTAAGGTAAAATCTACATTTAGGAATCAAAATAAAGATATGTCAAGAAATTGTGTGTTTGTGAATTTTCATAGCATACAATTCTTGAACCATGTTGCTCCAAGCTAACAATATACCTTAAAAATTCATTGAGACCGTTGATCTTTATTCTGGTCCATTTGTAATGGATTTCTGATGTCATTTGTACTGCATTGGCTCTGTTTGGAATGATACAAAACATGTTTGTTCATGTAGGTTAGGAACCAGTGGACCTGCTCCTGAAACATCCTATCCAGGGGACCAAATATTTTAGGATTTAATTCATTAGGGTTGATGGTTCGCTGAGTTGCTGTGAAACTTTAGATGTTCATGGTTCTATTAAAGGCAGGACTCCACACTAACTTTTTTGGAAGGGGTTCTGGATTTCAATTTCTGGAGTCTCTAGGCTTGAGCCCTATGTAACAATTTGTGAAATTGTAGGGGTCCGACTTAAATTGTTGGTGCCAATGTGGCCCAGGTGCCTGTTATTTTCAAGCCCTGTTCCAAGGTGACCCCTCTGACCAAATCTTTAGCTATCCTGCTTCCATGGGATAGAGCTTGGCTTGGTGTCATCAAAGGTTATGATGAATTTCTTGAAGATGCCTTGAAGACTACCATTTACCATCCGTTGATGAGAGGGATGCAGTTTGGCATGGCAGGGTTAAAAGTCTAGCTAAATGTATTCTGGTAACAGAAACATCATTGGAATGAAAATAGAGGGTTGAGTTCTTATATTACTCAATATTGATGAACAAAGTGATGTGACAAATAGATGTGTTGGGTTGAATCTTGTAATCATGGTATCATCTTTTTAGGAGTTTCTAACATAATTAACAAATAAAATATGATCTCTGTATCGGTTTCAAAGTATTCTCATTTAACAACTTGGTGTTTTCAAAGCTGTAAACAGAACATTTCCTTGAGACTGCATTCATAAATAAGTAAAAGGGCAAAGTGTCGTAAAATATCACAGATTTTTTCAAAGTTCACAAGTCGGTATCCAAAAAGAAAAATAGGAGAAGGGTTGCTGCACTTGTATGCGTTCAGCATTTGGCCTTGAATGGTGATGAATTGCTCTAAACGATAAAAAGAAGAGTAGAAAAATTGCCTCTTTATATGGATTTGTGGTTTAGAATAGGGTGAGGAAATTGACAAAATGGGGGGATAATGGTACATCGTTGTGTCCCTATCAAAAAGCGACTACAAAGACGGACAGTGGAGCCTTACAAAGTTGTTTTTGCCAAAAGAGAATAGATTCCAGTAATGGTGAACTTTGATAAAGCCCTTTAGTCCCACCTGTGCTGTTCTATTGTTGGTTAGTGACAAGGCAGATAAATAGGAATTTGCGAATCACATCAGTTTGGAGCACAAAAGAGACAAAAGAGGGCTGTTTTTTAATATCCATTGAATTCCTCTTTGGGCTCGGTGTGGGGTGAGGTAACAAAACAATTCCTCCTTTTGCGCTATTCACCAAAAAGTTGCAAACTGTCTACCCCCTCTGCCTTTCAGTGTTGTGAAGAACAGTGGGCGAATAAAAGGAGAATCAAGTCTGTTGATTGCCAAAATATTTTTAATTCTTTTCATCCTATTGTGGCAGCTCCTCACTCTCTGTGAGCTATTTCTCGGCTATTGAAAGGGGGCGGACAATGAGAGAAGTACAGTGGGGGCATCCATGCGGGGCCTTCCAATGGAGCTCTTTGAAGTGCCACATAATAGAATATAAAGGACTAGAGGACAGAGCTTCAAAGCAGGTGACACGCTAGTCTGGATGGAAACATAATGATCTCAAGATTCAAAGACTTCCTATTCATAGTGATCCCTTTTATCATAATAGTCAACCTTCCTCCCTTCTCTCTCCTGCCCATTCCTTTTCGATCCAGTCGATTGAATAGCCCAAATAAGTCACCGACCATTATTAGTCAATGACGTTTTCAATAGCTTGTTTGGTTGTGTTCTCTCGCCCAATTTTCTTTGGCCTTTTGTCCGTCTCACAGCACTGGCTGCCTGCACACACACAATTGAATGAATCGAGTGGGGGTTGAAAAGAAACGGGAAGAATGGATGAATAGAATAGAAAGAGAATGAGTGAGAGAGGGGAAAAAAGGTAGGGTATTGTACTCGGTGTTTGTGTGTGTTAACTACCTCCTAAAGAATACTCTTATCTTGTTTTGAGAACAATGGGGGCAAACACACAAAGCCGGCAGCTAGCTAGTTGTGGTTGCGGGGGCTTGGACCGATTGTCTAGGGGCGGTTGAACGGGGCTAGCCAGGAGGAGGCCGCGTGGCCTGAGTGGTTGCCAAGCAGAGGCTCGCTCACTTTGATTGTTACACCTGGTGTGTGCGTAGAGAATAGCCGTTGGTGTATGTTGGTTTTGCCTATTTGGCTATGACAGATATATAGCCTTAATGAGATTCATAACCATCTCCTTCGGGAGAATGACCCTTTCCTTTGCCAATACCTTGCCCCGTCCTGTAACCCAATAGTGCAAACTTAACCCATTCTTTGCATTTTGGTACTCTAATAAGGTTAGTTAAAAAGCTAAACTATTCTAAACTGCACGCAAAAAGTTTTGTATGTCCTGTGCTCTTGAATTGAAAGAGTATTAAACATTCATACTGTTAGTTAGGGGGAGCAAACAGAAATTTGTCAAAGATTTCGAAAGTATAATGAAAGGAAACATAAATTAGTGGAAAATGTAGGTATTTTCCACTTATTTATAGAAAACTCTGTCAAATAAGATGGATTTCGATGTAAATGAAACATTGGGGAGGGAAGCAAGGGCTTCCAGAGGATCTGTTTCACTTTAGACACGAACAATACCTGTACAGATCAATCAACCATTGGCATATATCAAAGATTACAATGTCAGATAAAAGCAGACCTACCGCGCAAACAAACTGATTTTAGCTGAATAGGTCTTAATAGGGATAGGTTTACAAAAAGGGCAAAAAGATATATGTTCTCAACAAGTTAATGACAAGGAAAACTATATATATATCTACAATTTTGTGTAATGTATCAGGCTCTTTTGTTAGTTTCTGCATTACTCTTTCCAGGACTGATTACAGAGATCATCATTGACCAAGAGATATATCTCAGCCTCATTATCCAGTGTGTGATCTCTTGAGAGCAAGAAAGACATTAGGTCATCCATTTTTTGGATGAACTTAACACCCTTCTGGTGGTAGGCCTACAGCCAACCCTATCATTCTTGTTTAGTTCATCTTTTTATGCAAGGTGAAATAAGGTGACACAAACTGTTCTTGTTGTTTGTTCATCATTATCAAAACATCTCTGCATCATTTATTGATTCTGTTACTGTAGAGAGAGAAGCAGTAGTATCATTGTTTTCAAATAACCATTCAATTGTGTTTACAACTTGATTTGATATATTGTAATGGATGAGAACCTATCCTATTATTAAATTAATCCCCTTCTTAAGAAGATAACCCTTTAATACTCTTAAGTATGTCACTAATCTCAATCTTAATCCCTTGGAAATACTCCCTCAAATGAAGATAGGGCCATTGATTGTAAATGTAAGCTATTATGCATGTTGGCAGTTTTGTTATGCTCCTGCCCCAACTTTCTCAGTGAAGTGAATATAGATGTATATGGTTGTATGGTGATGATGATGATGGTGGTGATAGTAGTGATGATGATTATGCTATTCCAGTTTTAAGTACCCCTATGTATTGAAAATATTAACTTGAATTTAACTCTTGCAGCCCTCATGTGCACAAATTGCTTTAAGCAAGGAGAATGAAATTGAAAAAGGTTTTGAATTTCAACATAAATATATAGGTAATTTTGTTAAATTAATTGAAAAGATGGACAGAGCCGATTCCCTTGAAAATATATTCAAATAAAAGAAAATGAACAATGCCCTTTAAATGTAATCAGTGTACATTGTGCCCTTGTTTCTAGATTGCAAAGAAGTTTAGCAAACTGTTTTAATCAACATTGGACATTGTTGCTGTAATCGGGTTGCCATTGACTTGCAATCTTTATCTAGAGTAAAGAATGGGGTGGTGGAGGAGGAGGAGGGGGGGGGGCAGCGGAGGAAAAGGGGGTAGAGGATAAGGAGGGAGGGGATGTCCAGGAGGAGAAATAGGGACAGAGGAGGAGGAGAAGGGGCAGAGGAGGAAAAGGAAAGGGGAGGAGGAGGAGAGGAGGGGGTCAGGGGAGGGAGGGAAGAGGAGCATGAACAGGAAGAGAAGGAGCAGGGTGGGTAAGGAGATGAAAGTGGAAGGTTAAGAAGAGGATGTAGATGATGGAATGAGAAGAGAGAAGGGGAAGAAGGGAGCAGAGAAGAAGGAAGGGGAGTAGGTTGTGTATGAGGAGGAGGATAGAGATAGGGATGAAGAGGAGGACGGAAGGAAATTTAGAGAGGAGTAGGGAGATGAGAAGGGTAAGGGAAGGAGGGGGAGTTAAATGAAAATCAGAAGGAGCTAAGTGGAGTAGAGGAGGGGAGAGGGAGTGGATTGGAAAGAGGGGGAAGGAAGAGAAGGAGGAAGAGGATTGGAGAATATGGAGGGGAATAAGAAGGGGTTGAGGAGGAGGAGGAGGAGGAGGAGAAAGAGGAGGAGGAGGAGGAGGAGGAAGAGGAGGAGGAGGAGGAGGAGGAGGAGGAGAAGAAGAAGAAGAAGAAGAAGAAGAAGAAGAAGAAGAAGAAGAAGAAGAAGAAGAAGAAGAAGAAGAAGAAGAAGAAGAAGAAGAAGAGAAGAAGAAGAAGAAGAAGAAGAAGAAGAAGAAGAAGAAGAGAAGAAGAAAAGAAGAAGAAGAAGAGAAGAAGAAGAAGAAGAAGAAGAAGAAGAAGAAGAAGAAGAAGAAGAAGAAAGAAGAAGAAGAAGAAGAAGAAGAAGAAGAAAAAGAGAGAGAGAGAGAGAGAGAGAGAGAGAGAGAGAGAGAGGGGGGGGGGGTGAAAGGAGGACTAGATGGAAGGGAGGGGGACACGAGGAATATATATCTCCAGCAAACGGCCGTGA